AGTAGAATTAAATAACAATCCAATAATACATTCACTATTATTGGATGCCTCATGATAATTGACTATTGTTTCCTCATAAATAAGATTTCCTTCATCACTACAAGTGTTTTGAACCTTTTTTTATCTTTAATTAAGTTAGTAAACGTAAAAATTAATTGCATTGCTTTTCCACGGTGACTTTCGCCATATATATAGATATGAGTGATAAAAATTAACACCAATTTAGAGTTTTTAATCTAAATTTGAAAACTCTGGTTCATAGCTGAAAATGTTGACAAGCAGATACCATAACCTGAATTCAGCTCACCGGACAGTATCATTGTTCAAATAAGACCTTCAAGCAGTATAGTGCATATTTAGAAGGGATCTGGTTAAAATCACTTATAACCAGGTTTCTCGGCACCAGTGATCATTCCACTGTATGAAACTGTGCCATACAGAATACGCATAGTCTCGAAAATGTCTAACCTAACTAAAAGACAGCGACAAATAATTGCCAAGCAGTGAGTTATTTAAAAACACTAGGAGATGAGCTCACATAACGGAATATTTAACTTTTTGAAGGCTGTGAATAGTAACTAAGACAATAACTTGTATTACACTTAGCTTCTCAGACACGTTTTATGTTCATTATGCCTATATATTTCGTACATGTTGATATTTCGTTATCCTTTTCACTTAGTCACTCCAAACTATGACTGCACAAACGTTTATTCTGGCGTTATATATCACTGCGACAATAAGTTATTTTTTCTTAATTATTTTTATTTTATTTTTGCTCCTAGTTTCACGATACATACATGGTCGTTTATTCGTGTTCTGTGTTCAGAAACGTGCCTATTAAACTGTTTGCATGTTTCACGTCTCCTTTATTTCTATCCCTTATTTTCTTCTTTTCCTTCTTTAAACAACTCAATATTTTCTCAATTACACAGAACCTGGTTTATTATTATAACTGTCTTTTTTTCAGATATGGCAACTATAATGATAACATTATTGAAACTTATTATCATTGCATTTTGAAGAAACTCGAAATGGTTTCTTCACAACACTTAAGTACCCGTAGAATGTTTGCGAATAATAATAATAAGCCTACTGTGAGGTTCCTTAATCAGCTTGTAACTGACAAATGAACGATAAGTAGCGAAGTCTGGACTTAGAACTCTATAAATTACTCCAAATGTTTGTGAAGTAACAGACAATACAAACAGACATTGCTCTGAAGGACATAGGTAAGTCAGCTCATCTAAGAAATATCAAGCAACATGAAGGTGTCACTTTCAACGTGGCTCACCATTCCAAGTAGTGCTCTGAAATTGTGCCGCACTTATTCACTGTCTATAAAGTGGCGTCAGAGGGTTACTATAGCAAATCACTGGGCTCAAGGAACTTTTGCGCAGCAGACTTCCATGTTTAAAGACTATCCACAAACAGCGGTTGGAGGTAATCAACAGGAAACTGTGAACACGTGTTTCGTGCTATTTGGCACTCGTCAGCTAGGTGTACCTGTAATCTTGAGGGAACTGGTCCTCCATGACGCATTCGATCCTGGGTCATTCAGCTTCACAGCCAGAGACGCTACCACCAGCCTATCCGGGCCGCGAGTGACCTCCTGTGGGGCTGAGATTTATTCGCCTGCAACCACCATCTTATCTCAACATAGTGCACACAATGGCTAAAATGCAACTTGGCCGATAGCACTCGATGTGTTATACAAAACCAAGAAGATAAAGTGGATACACATCTTATACGCGGTTGAAAAACTTGTCAAGTTTAGAAAGAGGTTCAGAGGTTCTAAAATCGTAATGCATGCAGTAGAGGAAATCATCCATACGGCTACAGAATAGTCGGCCTCTGGAGTCATGACAAAATCTCAAAAACTCTTTCAGCCTCGACCACATAGTTTCAATATTGTTTATGTGCACACCGGTTAATGAGTGCACTAAATGCTACTTGTGGATAACGACACGATGCACATAACCAAGCCTATTTAGGAGTCTGTACGCTCTCCAAACATCCGTATAAATTGTAGTACTTGGCTGCGGAGAGTGTTACTGGTGCTTTTATTATCCAGTTGTCAATAATTGTCGTAATTTGCCTTAGGAATTATATGTAAGGTTTTCATAACGAACTGACATCAGATATAACGCCAGAAATTTTATTTAGTCAAATGGATGAAAGGCTTTCACGTTAAAATCCGAAATCTATTATCTTACACCTGATTGATTCGTCCACAAATAATAATCCTGCCACCGCAGTCACAGGTGCGGGAACTTCTTAGTAGTCTCAACTCTTGTAGCCTCTCAATAATCAACTCTTCTCTAAAATCCGCTGTAAACCGATCGTATGTGAGCATCAGGTGCTCAACGTGGCTCCGTGACCTTGAAATTGCTCAAACGCTTTTGATTGGCCTGTCCATAAATAAAAGTCTAGCCGACAATCCGCTAAAAACGAAGTCTGCTCAGGACTCTGTAAAATCTACAAAAAGGGCTAGAATAGCCTCGACAAAAATGATGGACAGTTATTTGTGTATCAGAATATTGTTTTCAGCACTACATTGTATAACTACACGTAATTCCATACTTTCAGCTTCTTCCTAAATCAAATCCATTTGCCAGTTGTTTATCCACCCATACCTTGTTTACGCTTATTTCCTTAAACATGTTAGAATGCTCTTGCCCAATAAATACCTTAATTAGAGAGAGAATTAAATTGAGTAGTCATAAGTTAACTATTCTTTCATGAACATTGTCTGCTCCGCTTCTCATCCTTCCTTTTCGTGCACCATGTTTCCGCCCCCTTGATATATGCCACTGAAAAGAGTATGGAACGGGTGACTTCATCCTGCACCATCATGAAAGCCTCGGATATTTCAAAGGGGTATAAGGCTGCAGTTTCTAGAAGCCTCCAACTTCACATGGATCCATTCTCGACCATCAGCTGCTTGCCACAACTCAACCTTCAGGAAGCGCGCCAACTGAGATAGTGAGAACACGATTCTTACTAAAACCATCTACTTTCATATCTTATAAAATATCAACCCAGCTGAGTAATTTACTACAGTGAAAATTGTATCATTTGTAACAATTTCATCTTGCATGTGAACTGACATGCTTCATGTAACAAACAGTTATTGAGAATAAGTTATTATTATTATTCTGGATCAGGATTTTTTAGTAGCTCATAAGTAGCACAACAAGGTTGCTAAGCTACTAGTTAAGGAGTCTCAACTCAATCACATGTATTCTGTTTATTCTTTGTATAATGACTCTTAAGTCATTCTTTTCATGGTGACCTATGCATGGTGAGGTCAAACAAATGTCGAATCACCTCTATCCAAATAGATCTTCTGCCTTAGATGCAGTCCAACCCAAACTCGAGAGGGAATGTGCAGCGCTGCTTTTAGACTCCCTCGTCACTGTCTGAAAGCTCTTTCTTGAAAAGGTGGACTACATTCCTACTCGAATGAGGCGTAGCCATACCTGCATGAGAAAGTAGATTACAAATATATTTTTCTGTTTTCCATGGTCATGAAAGTCAAGACGGAGGTTATTTATTAAATTCTGGCTAGGTAATCCTTAACAATTCGAAGCTTTTCAAGTCCTAACATGTATTTGATGGAGGCAGACCGTGTGTCGCCAATTAATTGGCTACCTGCAAAAACAGTGTCATCTCAATCACATATACAGTGCCACAAGGCTCGATTCATGGACCATTCCTTCACAATCGAATTCCATAAACTTTATAGCATGACGTTTAAACGTGTTTGAACAGAACGATATCATCTTTGTTCACAATCACATCTAGAAGCTGTTTTCTTGGAACATGTTCAAATAAAAACATAAAATATCTGACGTCAAAATTCACGAAAAATTTTGTTGGCTAGAATCAACTGGTTACAAAAGACCGTAGTGCTTAGATCTTCCCAATGAAGATGCCACAGGTATTCGGAGTTTGACAACGCTTTGACCAGTTATACCTCTAATATGAATCGTACCTACCGAGTGAAATCAAAAGACAGAAGCGAGGAGGTTCGAAGATATATTTGATAAGCTATCAATATATCGAGGATCGTCTGATCTAATCTCGCTAGCGATTGCAGGGACTGTTGAACACGGCGTTCCCATTCGTGATCTGGTGCGGATGCATGACTGAGCGCCTTCATCTAGGTGAGTCCATTAAAACTAATGTGGTCAGCATCCAATGTCGAAAACTTACAGAGCTATTTAATTTGTGGATTTATTTACCTCTACACTAATCGTTCCAAAGAGGAATTCACGTTCACTTCATCTCTGTAAGAACTAAGGAGATTACATTAGGTGCTAATGTTCGAAGAGCACTTTTGAACACTTTGACGGAAGAAATTTCAATATAATCCTCAATAGTTTTATCCGTCCACATTTATAGTTCGGAAACATAGTATTTCCCACCTCACTCTAAAAGGATAAGGACACCCTGGAGCGTAGTCAACGGCGAGCCACGAAATCAGTTCAAGGACTCAAAGTTAAACCTTACGAAGAGCGTCTTCATTCACTTAACCTTTACCTATTAGGGTGTAGACGTCTGAGAGGTGACCTGATGGCTCACACTATCCTTAACACTTCTCGACATCCTCTCAAACACCTACTTAAGCTTAGTTCCAACACTAACCTAAAGGTAACACCCAAAAACTGGAGACTTTTAAGAGGCAACTTGATCTACTCACAAAGATTAAGGATAGTATCACACTATGATTTACTAGTTTCCTTACCTCTTTTATTGTTAACATACCTAGGTTCCTGCCTAAAGAATTTCGTGATCCGTTGCTACTAGACACGGAAGCCTGTTAAGCGAAAGCTTCTTGGCAACGCTCCTAGGGTATCGTCCACTGATGGGGGTTGCGAGCACTTGAAGGTCAAACTGTCGCAAAATGATTGGTGCGTCACATCGACAATTCGTGAAAATTTTCAGAAGCGGTCAAATCAAGACATTTTTAGATTTGAGTTGAGTTCAGCCACACTATGTCTGATAACGTTCATTCTTCAAGTAACGAAGACGATTCCATCGTGATGATGCATGATATAGGACGAATCTTCAATGATATTATGTTATCTCGAAGATTTACAAGTTGGGACAATTTTGAGACCTGTTTGAAAGAAGTACATAAGGTAATATGACCTCTGTGGTTAATAATTATTTTCTTAGTATACGCATACTAAGTACGTTATGTCAGTATGCAAAAAGAACAGTGATGATCCAACTCTAAAGTACTTTTTCGTGCGATATGTCTGTACATATGGACGTAAACGCAGTTCGTCAGAGTCAGATGCTTGCGTTCAGGATGTAGATGATGATAGTAATAATCATTCTTCTGAAGAGCATACAACTTCTAACTCGCCAACACAACCTAGGCAAAGGAGACGACGTCGGTCATCTACGTATGCCTTACTTCAAATGAATTTATCCTTCAGGTCGAAATATTGCCACTGTAAATCAGGATTTTGGGTCCGGGCACTGAATGGTGAGTTGAAACTCACCTCTATTAAAACCGTGCACAACCATCCTTGCACAGAAGGATATATTTCTGTCGATCCATCGAAACGACAGTTGACCTCAAGTGAACGCTTGTATTTAAGAACGTTTCTACTGAGTAATACACCAACTCGTAGCTTACGGTATCTGGTTTCTTTGAAGTTCAATAAACAACTTACCAAGGACGATATCGCCAGAATGCGTTCACAGTTGTACCCAGGTTGTTGAACTCACATTGTAATTAATTGAGTTTAGACACTAAAAATATCAATAACATTTTACAGCGCATTCAAGGTAATACTGAAGTTAAAGTATTCTATGAAAATGGGAACATGTCTATGATTTGCTTCAGCCGCAGAGAGCAAATAGCTGTTTACCACGCGTTCCCGGAAGTAATATGTATTGATTCGACTTATCAGACCAATAAAGTCGGGTAAGTGACGATTAGTAATAAATTTATCTGAAAGCTTTCCACTGTTCCAGCTAGTGGTCACTGATAGTCTTGGGCAAGGGCACACTGTTATGTATGCTCTTTGCAGTCAAGAACGACGCGAAGATATAGAAAAACTATTGGAATGTTTTAAAGAGATAATGTGCGGTACTTATGCTACACGCACGTTCATTATGGATTCGGCAGCGACCGAAATTTCGGCTGTGCAGTCTACGCACAGTCATTCTAACATAATACTTTGTTCATTCCATGTCCTAAGAGCGTTTTTCAGGAAGGTATGTGTTAGCTGTACAAATTATTTTCTGTAGTTCCGAAATCCTGATGTGCGCAAATGCTTGGAACAGCTTGTGAAGACTAGACGGTCTGATATGTGAGCTTCGCTTTTCATAGCGCATTATATTCAGATTTACTCGAAAGTACGAACATCTAAGAACGCATTTTCCACGGGCGTATGATTACATAAAAGATTACTGGATTGCTAGGAAGTCAATGTGGGCTCGCTGTTACCGGCGACATGTATTAAGCCTGGGCAACCACACAAACAACCGTGTTGAAAGTGCTCATAAACACCTAAAAGAATGTCTCAGAAGAGGTGATTCCCTATTATTGACGTTCTGGAAAATTTGGAGTAAAACAGACATTGATGTACGTTTGCGTCCTTATGACGCTGTGAAGGATCTTCAACGTTTTCCTATTCTTCAGGTAAGAAATATAGTTAAATGTATCATTAATTCCAGGTTCCAATGTCATTTCGAACTCTTCTAAATGAGTTCACATCTTTTGCAGCTAAAATTGTAGCTGTAAATTATAAACGTGTTCGGACAATGAGACACGAATTTATAGAAGGAGAATACATCCGGTGCTACGACAAGGGTATGATGTATGTTGTTGATACTTCACGTGCACGATGTGCTTGTGAGCGTTTCAATGACTACATGCTGCCCTGTGGTCATATTTTGTATGCACATTCTAAAGATCTGATTCGCGGAGGTATGTGTGTTCCTTTATCTCTATAAGTTTTGTAGACTTATTTCGACATAGCAACCGGTGGACAAGAAAATACATAATGGACCTGGTTCTTCGTGCGCTGGACAACATCTCAATCTCTACAGGGAGTGATGATCTGCTAGAGAAGTTCACTAGCAACTACCACTCAATCCATGCTCTTAGTGAACCTATGGCAAGTAAACTCATCCGTTCATGCCTCGAAGCATCGGAAGACATATGTGCACAGTTGATGAGTTCAGTCGGTGCTAATGATGAAGCTACAACGTCAGAATCCATTGTTAATGCAGACCATAGCTATGCTTCTTGCTAACAAGAAGTTCTAATATTGTAATCTTTTTAGTTTTACATAAATTCATTTATATGGCGATTGACTTATTCTTATAGCGTAACGGCAGGGAGTGTACTGTGCAGTCTTATGTGGCTGTGAGACAGGGATGTTGTTTCGCGTTCTTGTGTAATAATTACCTGGTCACCTTAGATCAAGATATCTTGACTATCGAATCGTACTTTTCAGTGCTTTCTCGTAACAGCTTTATATCAGTACTTATTTCTGATATTAGGTATTTTTGCAATAATACCGGCAGCCAAAACATTGTAGCTCCCCAGACAACCCAAAAAGGGAAAATAAAGGGGTAAATGCTTTGGTAGCGAAAGGGAAAACACATCAGAATGTCGCATTTTTCGCCTGTCCAGAGGAAATAATGTGGATTTCCCCCTTTTTCGCCGTTTTGTCGATAAATTACTCACTTTTCGCCTAAATATCCCCCAAATTACCGAATTTTCGCCTAACTGTCCGCAGAATTGTTTACTTTTCGCCTAAATGTCTGCTGAATTGTTTACTTTTCGCCTAAATACACACAGAACTCCCTATTTTCCATCCATTGACATAACCCCAAAGGTCTACTATGTTCACCTTTATTTTCAACAACAGACCAAAATAAATCTGCAATACAGTGAAAGACCGGCATGTTTTTGAAAAATTTTATTTAAAAGGTGAAGCGTATTATTGTACAACACTAGAGCAGAAGCTTAAGCATCGATTGTTTTGCATATCCAATGCAATTGCTAATTCATTGTTATTTGAAATTATCTGCAAAAGAAGAAACACGTGATGTATTATTTATAAGGAATGTGCATTTATTCAAAAGTTCACTGACACTCAAACACACATTCTCAACACTTCTACAGTTTCCCATGTAAGTAAAAAAGTAAGCTGTTTGAAAAATATTTATTGAAATGTAGGTACAACATCAAAACAATTGCACGGCTATTGAGAATTGAGGTAGTCGTCCCGTGAATTCAGAATTTAAAAAAAGAAAAAAGTCACAACCATATCTCAATGACATGCTTTGGTACAGCCAAATACTTGTGTACATCTACACAAGAGGTAGTAATGCTATCTTAGCTTCGTCTTTGGTAGAATCTCCACATAATTATACCTCTACCGCATGATTATGATTTATTTCCTGCAATACAATCATCTGGTGGCTAATATATCTAACTGTAGAAGGTGATATTAACATCTTAATATGTGTTATTATCATCTATAGCATATACATAATATTTACAACACTCAGGACACCTTATGTTTTCACTATAAACCTATTTCTGCCATAAAAGTCGAACAAAACAGTGAAAATCAGCAGAAATTGTGATAAAGATAGGAAAAACGATAAATCTTACCATGGTATCGTTAGTTGTAACGCAGTTTTCGTAGCCTTGACGACAATACAATTTTTATGACGATATATGCCTGAATCTTCCTATTTCATATAAAAATAAAAGATTTGTCGACCATCAGTGTATACCTAAGTAGAAATAATTGCTAATCTGTGATGCAAACATCGAAAAACTATTATAGCAGCACCTGAATAATGAATTTTCAAGGACTTCACGATACCATGTAACGCAAAATCGAAAAACCCCTTTTTACCTAATTATGAAAACGGAAAATAGACTTTCAAATTTATTCATTATGTATTTCCAAATTTGGTTGTGCACAAAGCAGAAATGAAAAAGTAGCGCAAAAAAGTGTCGCGATACCCCTGGAGCGCTGCCAAGCTTCTTCTATTCAGTCCACAACCATTTGAAACATTTCATTAATTCTACTGAAAAATTTGTCCTCCGTCTCCATTTCTAGAAGAAATGTGACAAAAATCATATTCTTATGTGGCAAAAAACGCAAAAGTACTACCTATATACAAGCCTCAAGGAATAAATATGTCGTTGGCTTTACTTGACAAAAGTCAAGTTTAAAATCACCAATTTCATTTGCGTTAGTATAACAGAGGAAGATTTGACCCTTCAAGGTCATCCTGTGGTATCATAATCAGAACCATTTGCTTGTCGTTGTCAACGATTATGGTCTTCTCCCTACACCAAGGTTATATACGTGGAGTCTAAAACACCTTTTTTTCTTACTTTCAAACAATTGGTCCAGCTGTATGGATATTGCTGCTCTCCTTGAATGGAAACTAAACTGTTCCGGACAATCTTTTAACACCGTATACAATCTATCTAGGCGTTTTTCGAATAAGTATCTTACTTGATCTTTTTTTATTTAACTTCAGGGGAAATAAATGTACGTGTGCTAAAATTGCGGTTCAAGTTGATAACAAAGAAACTGTCAATACCTATGATGTCGATTCTGACAGCGCGCTTATAAGGGAAGTAGAAGAAGCCCTTCAAAAAGCACACTTAACTCTTTCTCCGCAGAAGACAAAAAAGGAGCCTATCTCCGGAGACAGGCCTAGCAAGAGTGTCTTGAAAATGTGTCATGGAAACACTTGTATAAAGAAGTCGAGACCTGATAGCAGTGGACTTAGAACAAAGCAGCGGAAATATATTCCTGCCCACTATAAAGCTCCTTATAAAACGGATATGCACACACCAAACCGGTAACTACGTGATATGTAGTCTCACCTTCAGCATTTAGTAAAAAGTTATTTACATTAGGTCAGCCAGTAACATCATTTCCACCAACGATGGACAGCAAAAATATGAATGACGGAACCATAAAAAAGATCAACAAAACCAGTACTAAACAGGAAAATCATACGGACGTGAATTTTTATGAAGATATGTGGGTTCTTATATAAACCTAACTGTAACAGAAATTTATTATGCCATCCAGCTTCTACATGTGACTGCTACCAATATCAAACCCATCAGCAGGCTGTTTTAATCGAAAAATATAATAAAAGTGTTTCGCGCTTGTGGCTCTCAATCTCGCGTACCAGGCAATTAATAAGATCGGAAGATAGAAGTATTATAGTTCAGTTTTTTAAAAACGTGAGTATCCCAGTTGGACATGCTTATCATTTTTTATAACCTACATAACCTTAAATTAAATAGAATTGTGGGAAAATGTCATGGGTGCTCCTCGTGACATGATAGTTATTCTAATTTAACTCCTTATGCTTCCTCTTTTCAGGTTCCCACTTGCCTTGAGGTATTTGAATAGAAGTAATCTTTGTAAAGCAAAAATGTTTGCAACTATTTCAACAAATCTTTAACATTTCGATTTTTAATAGTTCAGAATATCTGGCGTTGTGCATGCGCGATATTTATGCATCACATTTATGTAGTGTAATTGCGTTTAATACCTCCCAGAATAGATTTTTAGTTTATAAACTTACTGATTATCACTGTCATCATTACAGCATAAACTTAAATTAATCATATGATTATCTAGCTGATAACTTTTAATTGACTGTTCAAGTTACTGTGCTGTCAGGTCAGTGTTCTAACAAATTTACACGTAAATGTA